TGTAGTAAATGTGCTCAGAATTTGTTTGATTTAAACTGAGCAAGCGGGCGACTGCTTCATTTTTATGATTGCTGATTAAGAAAATTCTTGATAAACTGGAAAGTTGGAATTTGGGAGCTTAAACTTTTGCTCTAAACCATAGTGTTAGTTTTTATGTGTTTTTGCCGTGCAGCGCTAGAGCGCTGCAACAGGCAGCAAAAACGCATATTGCAACAACCCTGTTAGTGTGTGTGTATGTTTGTATGTGTGTGCCCGTCTGTCCGGATATTTCAACTCGCTAACCACGCAAACTTTTAAGCTGAAATTTTGCCAGTTTTCCCCAGCCAAGTGCCATCCCAGGACCGCGGTGTCAACTCTCACGCACGTCTGGGCCCCGCGTACGAGCACGTGAAAGTTTTGGCGGGAAGATTGCTAACTCGGGAACGAGAAAGGCTAGAAAGCTGAAACCACAGGAGAATGTTCCCTACCCGTATGTGACAAAAAGATTTCAAATTCAGCTACCCAGGACTGCCCGGGGCTTACGTACGGGCACGTGAAAATTATGGCGGGAAAATTCGTAACTCAGGAATGAGAAAAGCTAGAAAGTTGAAAGTTCGGAGGAATTTTCCCTACTCATGTACGACCAAAAGTTTTCAAACTCGGCTCCTTAGGACCGCCCGGGGCTCACATACGGCCACGTGAAGATTTTTGGCGCGAAAATTATTAGCCCGGGAATGAAAAAAGCTAAAAAGCTGAAGCTTTGGGGAATGTTCCCTACTCATATACGAGCAAAATCAGGTGTTTAGGAGCGCCCGGGGCCCACATACGAGCGCATGGGAATTTTGGCGCGAAAATTGCTAACTTGGGAACGGAAAAGGCTAGAAAGCCGAAATTTTACGGGAATGTTCCCTACTAATATACGAGAAAAATCAGGTGTTTTGGAGCGCCCGAGGCCCACATACGAGCGCGTGGAAATTTTGGCGCGAAAATTGCTAACCTGGGAACGGGGAAGGCTAGCAAGCTGAAACTTTGGTGTAATTCCCCACTCATTTACGATTACCCAAAATTTACGATTACTCGTTTACGATTACGGAAAATTACCCAAAATCAGGTGTTTAAAAATCCCCGGGAGCCACATGCGGGCACGTGGAAATTTGGGCGCGGAAATCGCTAACTCGGAAACGAAAAAAGCTAGAAGGCTGAAACTTTTGGGTAATGTTCCCTACTCATGTATGACCAAAAGATTTCAAATTCAGCTTCTTAAAACTGTCTGGTACTCAAGTGCGGGCATGTGAAAATTTTGATGGGAAAACTGTCAACTCGGAGGGGAATGTTCCCTACTCCTGTGCTATTTAAAGGATTTCAGATTTAACTCTTCTAGTGCGGCCTTTTTTGCTGACCAGCAACTTTTCATTTGTCGGGTTACTGAAGTCGACATCTACAACTGACAAACCACATAGCTGAACAATTTACTTCCCGAACTTCGAGGACCAGTACGTCACAGGGTTAACTACTGTGATTTGCTGCGGACTTGCTACGGCACGAAAAGTGCAAAAACGCATGATCATACCGGCTCGCCTGGTGCGTTCCAGCCTGGGTTGAAGTTCATTTAGTCTCAATCTATGCATAGTTTACTTGTTTTTGACCCATGTATATTGTTTTTTCCTCATTGTTTCAATGAATTTCGTTGATTTGCAAATTTGAATTTGGAGGACATACTTCATGGACAGGGCTGTACAGTAGTTATGCAGGTGCTTTGGTTTGAAGAAGCACTACATTTTTGGCAAGCATACAATAAGATGCGTAGTAGTCAGCAAAAGCAAGCTGGCGCGACGGGGGGTTTTTTGTGAAGCAGCTGTGTCCAGTCGAACAATTACCTCCCCGATAGCGCAGCATGTGTCTGACAAATTTTTCAAGAACGGTCCATTTTTATGAATGAAATTAAAGACTTTTTTGAAATAACACATGTTATTCGACCTTGTGACTGTAGATTGAAGGAGAGTCTGGAAGGGTTGTTATTGTACTCATGATTCCCACCCCGTTTCGCACGGATTCTGCCGTCTCTGTTTACAGCTCAGGGATGAAACACAGAGAGTCTACCAAGGACTGCACATACAGGCATGCTCATATGGGAGATCTAAATGGCACAACTTGCAGTGTTTTCATTAATTATCAAAATTCGACTGTGTTC